TGAGTTGAAGAAGAGGGGCTCTGATACCATGTGCGAGCGGTCAAACGTCTTACCCTTCTAAGGGCGACGTGTTCATGTTATATAGGAGGGAGCCAAAACCCTAGATGGCTTTACATGGTGCGGTTACAAGAGATAAGAGAGAATCAAGATATAACTTGAGAGAGAAGAAAAAGGAGGAGATAGTTACAGCAATATCTCATTCAAACTACCTCCTCATTCAAACTGCCTCCTAGCTCTATCTCTATATCTCAACAATATACCAACCGCATAGGTGTTTAACACCAAGGAAAGATATGAATATCAGATGTTCGATATTGCACATTGAAAGGAAATGTTGAGAGGAAATTATTGGTTCCTCCCCTCTTGTGCTATATATATTTTCATCTTTCTCTTGTGACAATCTTATATGTGTGATAAGACATGCTAATTAAGAAAACCAGTTTATTTACTTGCTTATCTTAAATATTTCCAGCGGGATTTACATACTCCCTGCCCAAGAGCAGAGCAGAGAGCATAGCCATATGCCTGACATACTTTGTACAGCATGACACATGCTACTGAATCCTTCGTCAGGAGCTGCTATATAGCATTAGAGATCAGAAATGGTCTGAACCTACCTGTGGACCTACCTTCCTCAACTGTCAGTGTCTAATGTTATATGGAGAATAGAAACGTAAGGGCCGTGTTACATATACGGGCTATCTCTGCTTGATGGCTACTGTTCATGCATCCAATTCAGCCGAGAAAACGACTGTGACAAGTGCCAAAGAAAGATATGGATATCAGATGTTTGATATGGCAGGTTGAAAGGAAATATTGAGAGGAAATTATTCATCCTAGAAAATGACTGTTCATGCATCAATGTATGTTGTCACAGAATTTTGTACCAAAATTTGAAACATTATTCGAGATACAAAATGAAAAATTTGACCTCAATGTGATAACGGGTCAAATCTAAAGCTGTTATGTTACGTGCTATTCAGTGTCGAATTTGTCTTCTTTTAAAACAATGTTTTGAATTTTGATTAGAAATTTTGTGACAACATATATTGTTGTTGTGTGAATGTGCCATTTTTTAAAAGAATTTTCTGAACATTTTAAAATGTGCTACGGGAGTTCGGTGTACCAGATGCACCGCAAGCACCTGTGCACCAGATATTCTCCCCCTGCAGCAGCCTAGGCCATGCATCGTCAGTGCCTTCCTTTTTACCAAAGGAATCAGAAAATGTTCTGAACCTATCTGCCGACCTACCTTTCTCAATTGTCAGCGTCTAAATTTCTAGGGAGAACATAAACCTGAGGGTTGGGTTACACATAGGGGTATCCATGCTGAAATCTACCATTCATCCATCCAAATAATTCAGCCGAGAAAACGACAATGACAAATGCAAAGGAAAGATATGAATATCAGATGCTTGTTTTGGCACACTGAAAGGAAATATTCAGAGGAATTTATTACTTCCTCCCCACTTGTGCTACTGCCATCTACTGTATCTCAAGTGACAATCAGCACATTAGCCAGTAATGTCATAGGCATGCTAAGCAAAATAGTTTAACCAACGATACGTGGGTTATGCGTGGCGAAAGTTACACAGTTGAATTCGTATTGGAAATAGGTTTTCGGTGCTATAAATTTCAAGTCGCATAACTTATATTTTGTTTGGTTAAATTAACAGTCCAAAGTTCAAATTTTGAAATGGAGGGAATATTTCGAAAAGGTTTTCTTCTTCCGCAGGGCACGCTAGTCGTGCTCGCGCAGCAGCTTGGACCACGCGTGGCCATTCCGATTCTTCCCTTTTACCATAGGAGATCAGAAATGTTCTGAACCTAACTGATTTGTCGACCTAGGTTCCTCAACTGTCACTGTCAAAGTTATAGGGAGAATATTAACGTGAGGCCTGGGTAACGTATACGTGGTATCTCTGCTGAAGCTTACTGTTCATGCATCCAATTCATTCAGCCGAGAAAACGACAGCGAGAAGCCGATAAGCGCCAAGGAAAAGATATGAATATCAGCTCACTGAAAGGAAATTTCAAGAGGAAATTATTGTTTCCTACACTCTTGAGCTACAATATATTATCACCTCTCTCTCGTGACAATCAGCAGCCAATATGTGTGATAAGACATGCCAATCAAGAAAAACAGTTCATTTACTTGGTTATCTTCAAGATTTCCAGTGGGATTTACATACTGCTGCCCTAGACAAGTGCAGAGGGTTGATAGGTTACATTGGTAGTAGTTGGTGCTCTGCTGTTCACCTTTGGGCTGCTACCCTGTTGTAAACAGTTCATTTGAACTCTGCAAACTTTGCCAAAGTTGTAATAATTCCGTCGCAGCTACTTTCTACTCCCTCTGTCCCAAAATATAAAAACGTTTTTTACACTACACTACTAGTGTAAAAAACGTTCTTATATTATGGGACGGAGGGAGTAGTTGTGTCCGAGACCTGCTAAATATTGGATTTGGTGGCTGTTTGACTCTGCTTTTAATAAAGTTGAGGCGAGGGAAACCCCTTTGATTAAAAAAAAAGACAAGTGCAGAGCAGAACAGAGAGCTTAGCCATATGCATGACATACTTGGTACACCATGACACATGCTACTGGATCCTTCTGCAGGACACGAGGAACACAAACTTCACAAGTAACAAAAACCAAAAAATTTATGTGTTGTGTCAACAACTCAACCTACCTCTACCGGACGTATCGCGAATTCGTGCCAGCGTTGCCTGTTTGAAGGAACCCTCTGTTTTCCCTATGATGCAATCAAAGAAACCAAAATATATAGGATTGAGATGAGCACGACATTCCAATCCTATGGTTTTCATATTCCCATGTTTTGGGAATCTCTGTGAATCAAAGAGTCCCCAAATGTGGGTTATGCGTGACGGAAGTTATTCGTATTCAAAGAAGTTTTTGGTGGTATAAATTTGAAGTCACATAACTTGCGTTTTGTCAGTTGAATTAGCGGTCAAAGTTAGATTTTGAAATGGGAGTATTTCTAAAAGGTTTTCCTCCTCTGCACGGCATGAAAGTCGTGCTTGCGCACCAGCTTCTTGGACACCACACGTGGCCATTCCGATACTTTCCTTTTACCATAGGAGTTCACAAATGTTCGGAACCTATCTGTGGACATACCTTCCTCAACTGTCAGTGTTTAATGTTATATGGAGAATAAAAACGTAAGGCCTGTGTTACATATAGGGGGTATCTCTGCTTGATGGCTACTGTTCATGCATCCAATTCAGCCGAGAAAACGACTATGACAAGTGCCAAAGAAAGATATGAATATCAGATGTTCGATATGGGACGTTGAAAGGAAATATTGAGAGGAAATTATTCATCCGAAAAAATGACTTGTTCATGCATCAATGCATGTTGTCATAGAATTTTGTATCAAAATTTGAAACATTACAAAATGAAAATTTTGACATCAATGTGATAACAGATCAAATCTAAAGCCCAACTTATGTTACGTGGCATTCAGTGTCGAATTTGTCTTCTTTTTAAACAATGTTTTGAATTTTGATTCGAAAATTTGTGACAACATATATTGTTGTTGTGTGAATGTGCTATTTTTTAAAAGAATTTTCTGAATATTTTAAAATGTGTTACGGGAGTTCGGTGCACCAGGCGTGGACCACAAGCAACGGTGCACCAGATATTCTGCCCCTGCAGCAGCCCGGACCATGCATTGCCTTCCCTTTCACCAAAGGAATCAGGAAATGTTCTGAACCTATGTGTCGACCTACCTTTCTCAATTGTCAGCGTATAAATTTCTAGGGAGAACATAAACCTGAGGTTAGGGTCACATATAGGAGGTATCCTTGCTGAAATCTACTGTTCATCCATCCAAATAATTCAGCCGAGAAAACGACAATGACAAATGCAAAGGAAAGATATGAATATCAGATGTTTGTTGTGGCCCACTGAAAGGAAATGCTCAGAGGAATTTATTGCTTCCTCCCCACTTGTGCTACTATCATTCATCTATCTCAAGAGACAATCAGCACATTAGCCAGTAATTTTATAGACATGCTAACTAAGCAAGACAATTTAACCAACCAAATGTGGGTTATGCGTGATGAAAATTACATCGTTGAATACTTGAATTCATATTCAAAAAAGGTTTTCGGTTGTATAAATTTCAAGTAACATAACTTAGGCTGTTTGGGTTAAATTAACAGTTCAAATTTTGAAATAGAGGGAGTATTTCTAAAAGGTTTTCTTCCTCTGCACGGCACGGCTCGCAAGTCGTGCTCGCGCAGCAGCTTGGACCACGCGTGGCCATTCCGATTCTTCCCTTTTACCACAGGGGATCAGAAATGTTCTGAACCTAACCTATTTGTCGACCTAGGTTCCTCAACTGTCACTGTCTAAAGTTATAGGGAGAATATTAACATGAGGCCTGGGTTACGTATATGGGGTATCTCTGCTGAAGCTTACTGTTGAACTGTTGATGCATCCAATTCGGCAATTCATTCAGCCGAGAAAACGACTGTGACAAGTGCCGAGGAGAAGATATGAATATCAGCATATTATCACCTATCTCTTGTGACAATCAGCAGCAGCCAACATGTGTGATTAGGACATGCCAATCAGGAAAAACATTTTTTTTACTTGCTTATCCTCAAGATTTCCATTGGGATTTACATACTTCCTGCCCTAAAGACAAGTGCAGTGCAGAGCAGAGAGCTTAGCTATATATATGCCTGACATACTTTGTACACCATGACACATTTTGCTGAATCCTTCTTCAGGAGCTGCTATATAACATTGTACTCCCTCCGTTCCTAAATACAAGACGTTGCATCCAGACAAAAAAACACATTGTACCACATGTACTCACCACATGCTGCAACAACAAAAAAACTCAGATTTTGCATCCAGACCACGAAAAAAGAACTTCCAGACAACCTCTTTGTTCTACCATATACTACACAGCAAGGGTCCCAGGCTCTCAAGCATCAACCAACAGCACATGGCTACAAACTACATATGATCTATGCTTGAGGGATGGCGGGGTTCTCGACGTCGACGGTGGCGCTACGCTGTCCCTCCTCTGCAGCTGAAGGCTGACTGGATGCCGGAGCTGGCTGCTGCTGCTGGGCGACACGTGGTGGCCTGCGAGCATGGCGCTGGTGGGCAGGGGCCATCGTCCTCCACCTGAGCACCTCGATGATGATGGAGTTGCCGATCATCCCCACGCCGAAACCCGCAAAGGTTGCCAGGATGATGGATATCACAGCCTGCAGATGCAGCTGACACAAACAAACAGTTCACAGACATCAGCACTTGCATCAACAAATCGTTCAGAAACTTCAGGCGGTGTGAGCAGAGTATGCTCTGTTTTGCTTACATATCTGTAGAACAAATGCGTGAAGAACACGACGAAGAGGAACTGGATCGCGGCGTAGATCCACACGTATCTCCTCGCCACTGCATATTTTGTCAGACACACAATTTCAAGTTAGTTACCATTGCAACAAGGGTTCCATCAAGGCAATCACATCAAAATTTTCATTATGTGTTCTGGGGTGGACTGTGGTTAAATGATGTAGTACCCATGCTTGTTGTGGTGAGTGATGAGAAGAGGCCTAGGATGCACGAGAAGGGCAGCGATATCGCCAGGGCGGCGAAGCCGTTATGCGCAACCTATGAGACACCAGAAACAAAAGAATTTATCGACCATGTGCAAGTAAATTTTATAAGCAATCAACAAGAGAGGGATATAAAATACCAGCAGTTGCTCCAAGAAGCAGAAGTATGCCAGGATGCTGATGACCACCAGGATAGGTGTCCCATGCCACAGCCTGATTAACAAAATGACAAAAGGAATCACACGTTTGGTTACATAAATCAATGACTGCACTATGTTTTATTAGTACACTATTGGCAGTTTAATAGCACACATCATTCCAAGTCTAGAAGAAATTCTGTGTTGATCTGTCATGAAGTAGGTAAGATCAGCAGCATGAAAACTTGTTCCCTATAGCTGTACCAAGTATGGTTAGTATACTATTATCAGTTTAGCACACATCATTCCAACTCTAGAAGAAATTGTATGTTGATCTGTCACAAAGTAGGTAAGATTAGCAGCATGCAAACTTGCTCTTCTCAAATTATATTGTCAAACTATCTTCCATATAATACTACCAAGTCTCTCTCCAAAGTATCACAGGTGTCACCTGACTCCAAATGAGGAACACAAACTTCACAAGTAACAACATAAATTGTAATGTTTGTTTTGTCAAGATTTGATCCTACCTGTACCGGACGTACCGCGGCCCGTTGGCGCCGGCACCTGCACGGGTCGCGTCGCCGCCGCGCGTGCTCTGGACGCGTAGCAGGGTGACGGGGAGGTTCTGGACCTCCTCCTTGCACACCTCGCAGGTCCTGGTGCCCTTGATGCCGAACCACTTGAGGGCGCAGTCGGTGTGGGCTAGTGCGAGCTCACCCCTGCAGGAGCACTCGAGCTTCATGGCGCCGCCTCCCTCGGAGAGCTCCACCATGCAGATCCGGCACACCGCCTCCTCCTCCGCGATGTCCTCCCCATGGTCGTCTTCCCCCTCTCCGGCCCCTGCATGAAGCAGCTAGACGGCATAGCAATTAGCAACTTGTGGCACAGCAACTGTATGTGACTTACTGAATTTAGACTTGTACTACTGACTGCAGTGGTAGCAGAGTTCAGACTGGAAATGTAACAGGGGAGGCAAATGTTGGAGAGTGATGTGCATCCACCCACCTGGTTCTGTGGGGACTATGTCCGGCGCGGCATTGCTGGTCGCGGCGGTGGCGGCGGCGGTGGCTCGCGGCGTGGAGGGGACGACGCGGTACACGCCGCCGAGCGAGTTCATCCTCTTGATGCTCTTGGCGGAGCTGAACTTCTTCATGTTCATGGGGAGGGACTGCGAGCGGTGCATGCCCGTCTTGTTGTCCTGCCACCACCAACAAAGGAACCAAAAAAGTTCAGATAAAATTCAGCAAACGAAGACAACTTCAGATAAAATTCATCATCATAGAACTTAGCAAGTGAGAACTAAATCAAATCGAAATGCTTACAGCGGCGGCGGCAGGAACGCTGGACGGAGTCTTGTCGGCGGCGTGCACGGAGGCCGCGAGGGCGTGGTCCACGGCCGGGAGCGAGGCCGTCCTGGCGATCCTTCCGCTGAAGAGCCTGGAGAGGGAGGCCTCGTAGCCTCTGACCGAGGACTTGAAGCTGCCCCCTCCCGGCAGGAGGCTCCGCACCGTCTGCCGCAGCATGAAGGACGGCGTGCGCTGCGGCGCTGGGGACTTGGCTGGGGCACCGTTCTTGCCGGAACCCGAGGCAGAACCTGGTGTTCTGCTGGCTACGGCTTCTGCCTCTGCCGCCGCCGTCGGTGTGAGGGGGGCGCTGGTCGCCGCCGGGATGTCGATGGAGAGGTGCGGCGGCCTCTTGGCCCGCTGGTCGTCAGGCGTAGGGCCGCCTCCTCCTCCGACTCCTTGCATTGGATTTGTGATGGTAGAAGTAGTACCGCTGCTGCTACTCTGCTGCAAACCGAAGGGCAAGAAGATGAAGAAGAGCAGCATGAATCAACTGACAGACACGCAGCGCGAGTGACCAACTAATCTCAGCACACATGCCATGCGTGTACCGGTAGCACTGCCGGCTAGTGACCAACCATATTATGGCCATGGAGAAGAAAAGGGCATGGAAGCAAGCAAGCAACCACATGCTCTGCTTTCCGTTGCTCACTGAACCCCGGCCTCTGACAGCGAGAAAGCGGCAGCAGTGGACAGCAGTAGACGAAACGAGGAGGAAATTGGTCCGGTTCTAACTAATCACAGGAAGCAAGCAAGTCACCTGCTCCGTCCGTGGGGAATCCATGGCCTGCACGCAGCTCCTGGATTGGAGCCGTGGGTGGGTTGCTCAAGAACACACTCCTCTCCCTCTCCCTCTGCCTTGAACCGGTTGGTTTGAAACGGTGGGAGGTGCCCAAAGCTGGGGTGGGAAGTCTAATGGAGGGGCGGAGGAGGCGGCGACGATTGGGGTCTGGCTCTGCCGCTGCTAGTGGCGCAGGCGAGTCGGTTGGCAGCGTGGGCGGTAGTGGGATGTGACCGGGCGGGGCCATAAATAGGGGAGGTTGGGCTGGGCGAGTGGAGAAGAAGACGCGCAGGCACAAGCACCAGGAGAGGTGGCTCTGCTAGTTACTGTTTTGTTGGAACGGCCACGACCATGGCACAAGGCACGAAGCTTCCGACTTCTCAGCGAGTGACCAGCAGAGGGAGAGGAGTGAAGAGGAGTACCTCGGCTACTTTTGGCGGGCAGCCATGTCAATTCTCATCCCATCATCCCATGTGCGAGGTCGCCGGCTGGCTCCCGGACGGCACGCTCTCCGGGGCACACACACTTGCACCTTTTAGTTTTTTTTTTCTTTCTTTCTTTTCTGCGACAAGCCTTTTAGAACTGTAGTGTTTTTCACGTTTCTGAAAATTCACGAAAAATCCGAACCGCGCGGTACATATAAGCGCATACTACGAGCATCTCCAACTTTGCTCCCTCATTTGTGTGTTCGCTCTGAGTCCTCGTTTGTTCGTGCATGCAGCCATGACTCTCAAATTATCCGGTAATTGATGGAATAATAGAGAGAAAGAAGACAACAACAATAAAAAATGATAAAGTGGTTTAGGATGGGCTGTGTTCAAGAAGGCAGTCTGCCCGAACACCTCTTTTTTGGTACTCTGCAGCCGTTGCCACCAAGAAAGAAATGGCTCTAGGGTTTCCTCCTAGGGTTCCGTCACCACCAGTTTTCTTTGCCTCCGGGTGCCTTCTGGCAGTGGCGAGGTGGGAGAAACCCTGATCTAGGTTGTCTCTTTAGTCTAGGGCCACCTTACACTTAGTTAGGGTTAAGCGCCTGGCTGCCGGTGGCGAGGCAATGTTGGGATCGACGGCGAGGTATAAGTCCTCCTTGTCATGTCCTCGTTACGACAATGCTCTTTGGCAAAGGCGGGGGACGTGTAGAGCTCTAGTCACGGCCAGATGGCCCAGATCATGGGCTTTGTTTTTGTCTTTGTGTTTGTGCTGGTGATCAGCGACGCCTATGAATGGGATGGTGTCACATCGTGTCTCGTTCTTCGGTTCCTTCTCCATCCGATGAACCTCAATCACATGGGGCACCGTTGGTGACTTGCGACCCTCCTTTGCCCGGGTCTTCCTTGGTGCCAGCTTCTCCGGGATGATGATATGCCCAGATTGTGAACGCCGGCGACCTCTGGTCTACAACGACGACTTTCCTGGCTGCTGCTTAGAGCATCTTCAATAGATGATGCAAATTTGGAGATGTAAAAGTGGGTAATGTATAATTTACATCACTAGAAAGTGAATTTTACATCTTCAAAAAAGAGTCAACTCCAACAGATGTATATTTGGTGATGTAAAACTCTAATTCCAACAGATGATGTAAAAATGGCTAACAACCGCGTAGCAACCGCTGTACAGTACTAGTTCAGCCGCACAGTTTGAAATAAAAACATCCTGAGATAAAACTTAAAATCTCATTTGTCCACGGTATCAAACTATTACACAATTCATCAAGTTGACAACATCAAATGCAATGCAAATACAATAAAGGTTTTGCCCAATGCAACAAACAAAGAATGAAACTAGGCGATTCTTTCGCCATGCCATTTCTAGTACCCCTTCATCAAATCTTTCTGAAGTTCATCATGTGTATCGCAGTCTTTAATTTCATTGTACACCTTCAAGAAACGTATGATTCACTCCTCTTTTCTCATTGGCATAACATGTATGTCCACGATCATTTTCAATGATCATGTTATGCATAATTACGCAAGCAATCATGATGTACCAAAGGTTTTTTTAATCCCAGAATCTAGATGGTCCTCGCACACTAGCAAATTGGGTTTGCAAAACCTCAAATGCCCTCTCAACATCTTTCCTAGCTGCCGCTTGAGCATTGTCAAAATAGAGTTCTTTCTTACCTTGGGTGTTTGGATTGGCTTGACAAAAGTACTCACCTCTGGAAGATCCCATCCGCAAGACAGAACCCATAGTTTTATGTGCGGCGATTTGCTTCGAAGATCACCGGTGGAGCTTCTCCATTGACAAACTCGGAAAAAAGACGTGACCGGGCGAACATATTGATGTCATTGCAAGATCCAGACATCCCAAAAATATGAATGCCAAATCCATGTTTCTTGATCGGCAGTAGCCTCAAGAATGATGGTGGCATCCTTCTCGCGGCCCTTAAACTGTCCACGCCATGCTTTAGGACAATTCTTTCAGTGCATGCAATCGATGGACCCAAGCATATCTTCAAAATCCTCCGAGTGTCTTGAGCATTGGGTGCTCTCATGTATCGTGGACCAAACACTTATACCATATTCTTTGCAAATTGTTTGACATATAAGATAGAAGTGTTCTTTGCCATTGCCAATTGTCATCAATGTAGTTTGCCGGAACACCATAGGCCATCATGCGCAAAGCGGAAGTGATCTTCTGCTCGGTGCTATATCCAAGCAAGCCGGCAAAATTCCTCCTCTGCTAGAAGGATCGGTCATGCTGCTTCACTGAATTGCAAATGTGCATGAACAAATCTTTGAACATCGACAATCGACGACGGAAGCAGCAACGAACTTTGCTCACGGCAAGCGTAGATTGATGCAAAGGCGACATTGATTATTATTTTTAGGGCTTGCCTATAATTTCTTTTTTAATAGTTTTTTCTAAGGGCTAGTTTTTATTTCATACAGGGCATTCGGCCTTCTGAAAAAGAAACACAAGGAAAAACAAAAGGACGCTCTAAATAACTTGCATGGCATCGACAGCCTTGAAGACAAATTCCTACGGTCATTCTCCGCATAGCTTGCACGACATCTTAGGACGACTTCCATTTGGAATGTAAGGGATTCGGCACAAAGGACAGAGACTTGCACTCGAATTTGCCCCTGGCGTGTCACCGCATGATATGAATCGACAACAACATAAAGATGATAAAAACGCGTCCCATATTTCTACGGAATGGACTGCTCGCGACTTGTGCTCCAAAGGGGACGGTACGTGCGCGCGTACAAAAAATACAAATCTGCTTGAAAGAGATCTGCACCAACTAGTAGTACTAGTAGTACGATTTATGAGGCCATGCAATTTCAGTTATTGGTAGTAGTCGCAACGCGGGAACTTGAATGCATGTTGTGTGCTAGATTATGACGTGCACCGGGAACTCGATTCTTTCCTTCTCCTCAAGAAAAGACTCTTAAGCGCGACTAGGTTTTCTTCTGCCCATGTCAAAAAATGAGACCGACCCAAGGGTTAACCCTCGTTGGCTTTTCTTTATAAGAGAAACTCCGTGAGCACCGCGCGTCCGTGCCGGGACTCGAACTCGGGTGGGCTGGCAGCAACCTCAGCTGCCCAGCCAACGGGTCGGCGCCCTGTCCTCTCTTCTGCCCATGTCAATGCCACCGATGGTCCTCCCCGCCTTCGATGGCCTTTGGGTCGTGGTAGTTAGAAGAGCCTTGGCCCCCGCCGGCAAGAGTGACCCCGCTCTCTTTCTTGTCACGTTCAATGTCTTAGTTGAGGTAGTGCGGCTTGTAGTTGTCGCTAGGTGGTCAATGCACCGGGGAGGTGATTTGATTATGAACGGATCGAAAGCTTCTCGCAAACAAAGAAAAAAGATTATGACGCGCATGGAATTGACCAAGGTTAAGAAAGTAAACAAAGAACCTAGTTAATTATCCGGTTTGTGTTGTTGCATGCTTATGAGTTATGACCAATCAAATCAAGTTGCATGTTGCACTAAAGCACTGAGTGATCAGATCGGCACATCGTGCTACAAAAAGGGCAGGTTTAGCGCGTTTTCATACAAATCAACCATTATCTACTAAGGAAAAACAAAGAGAGAGAGTTCGGTGTGTGCTGGAGGTAGCTTTAGTTTGGAATAAGCATTGATTAGTACGTACGTGCCAAGACTGATTGATTTCGCTTTTGCAAAGTGGACCCATGATCATGAGAGGACTGATAAGCACTGACAACTCCACTCAAGCCACGTCACAGCATTAGTGTGATTAGTCCAATTTCCTACTGAGATAGTCCCTTCATTCACAAATATAAGATGTTTTAAATGTTTTATTAATATAGACTAGATATGTATTGAAATAAGTGAATACACACATAAAAATATGTCTACCGGAAAAAGGTTAGAACATCTTATAATAGTGATGGAAGATGGACGTGGGGTATCTGCTCTCAAGCTCAAATGCTAGCTTCCTGGTCATAGTAAAAAAAAGGAAGCAAAATCAAGAATTTCTAATTTTTTATAAACTTTGAAAAATGTTTTGTGTGCTCATAAAATTTTATCAAGAAGTGACATTCATGGAAGTCATGGAAATATTGATGTTCCAAAAATGCTGATTTTGAAAGCATTTTAGAGTGCTGTTTTTTTGGCTCTAACCTCCATGAATGTCATGCCGTGTCGAAGTTTGTCACGCACACAAAAACATTAGCCAATGTTTACCATAAAAAATCAGAATTTTATGATATTTTCCTATTTTTTTATTTTACTGTTCACCAGAGAACTTTTGAGCTCGGGAGTAGAAGAGGACTTTCGACGGAAGAGTACTACTAAAATAGAAAAGCAAAAGTCCCCAACCCATCACGGTTCAAGTTCTAGACTAGACTTTGGTACTCGCATTTTTCTGAATTTATTTCAGGCCTTTCGGCGATGTGCGTTCAGTGGGAGGAGAGGTCCCGTCGACTATGAAGGCATTTGTGATGATTTCGTCAATCTCAAGATAATATGTCGGCTCAATATCTTGAAAGTACTCATAGGAATAGTGTGTACGTGCGTTCGTAAAGATGAGTATATATGTGTATGTATGAGTGTCTGCGTTTATACGGTGTTAAAAAATACAAAAGCAAAAGTGAGATTGTACTAGACTTAAATACAGGTCCTTCAAGCGCTTTCCAGAAGGAAACGTGTCAATGGGACAGGTGTCCAGCACGACTGCCACATGTGCAAATTAATTCCCGCCTGCTTGATCTGTCTGACGTGTGCAGATAATGAAGTCAAAGCGAGATGGACAAAACGCCATATATGGCTACTCTACAAGCTTCCCTCTACAAGATTAAGTAGTGAGATCATTTCCATTTGCGGCCAACACATGCATGGGACTGATCTCTGGTGATCGGCTGATATAAACAGGCCGGCAAAATTAAAGTTCCGACGGCTGCAAAGGTTGATATGCAAGGTTTTCTCCAAATTGAAAAGGACGCTTCTCTCCATCACACAACTTGTATCCGCTTGTTTGGTCTCCTACATATCAAGATAGTAAGATTTGCAGATTATTGATCATGCTTGCCGCGGGATTGCTTGTTTGAGACATGAACAAACAAATTTATAGGAATTATTATATCCAAGGAAATTCGCGTGCGCAAGGGGGTTTACAACCTGCAAAATGGGGAGGAGGGAGTAAGATTTGTCTATTTGACTTTTAAGCGATTTAATTGTCAATTAAAAAACCAAAACACATATAACTAGCAAACAAGTGCGCCAACATCTGGAGAATTTAATTCATAAAAATAAAAATTTATTATAAATTAACATATTTTAAATCATAATATATCTCTATTTTCTTTGAAAGAATAATATATCTCTATTACTTTGTCATTAATACAAAAACGCTCATTAGACATAACACACCAAAAAACTATAGTGCCAAGCACGTCGATACAACAACACTCTTGCAGCCATTCTCGAAAAGGTGTTTTTAACCAAGATACTGTGGAACCCATTTCATGAAACATAGAGAAGAGCATGTTTGTATGTTAAAAAAAACAAAAGAAATATCATGTCCATAGGTTCGAAAATTACTCATGTACGGGTAGAAAAGGAGAAACTGATAATGGTAACAATTTATGTTTCAAAACCCAAATTCTATCATTGTCGTTTCTTATTTTCATGTTGGTCGCAAATCATCGTATTACTTTGTGGAAATTCACATGGGTAAGTTTGGATCTGACACCTGTCCGCGTGATTATTTTTCGGAACTTTTTCGACACTTGGAAGCATGTTTTTGCCAAGTCCTTAGAAAGTGGATACATTAAAAACCACGAACATTATGATATACTCTCTCCGTCCCATAATATAAGATGTTTTTTAGCATTATACTAGTGTAAAAAAACGTTTTATATTATGGAACGGAGGGAGTATTTATGCGTCATTTTCTACATAACTTGCACAGCTTCCACTTGGGAAAAGTTGGCCACGAGGAGTGCCAACTACCAAGGGCGGGTGGAGTGAGACTTTGCATTTGGAATTAGAGGGTCACTCTGCCGTCGCGTGTCAGCGGGCGATATGCGTCGACGAAAACGTAAAAGATGATACACGCGTTGTATATTTCTGCAGAAATTGACAGCTCGTGACTTGTGTCCCAAAGCGAACAGCAGCAGTACGTAGAAAACGCAGTGCCAATCTGTTTGACAGGGATCTGCACTAACGCTGGTACGGTTGGAGCGAGGCCATGCACGGAGCTTGAATGCAACTTGTGTTAGATTATGACGTGCATGATATTTACCAAGGTTGTTGTGTGAACTTTATACGGTGTGTGGTGCGTGCTTTCAAGCAATTAGATTAAGTTGCATACTGCACTAGGCTACTCGGCACATGTGCCAGTAAGTAGCTTTTGTTTGTGGAAAGAACATTGATTAGATACTCTCATGATACCAATTCGGAAAATTTAAATTTAAACATTTCAAAAAATTCTGAAAAAAGCATAGATCTTCGCAGCACATGTGTCTACAAACCCTAAAAAATTCGGAGCCAAATCCGATATACACATTGAGAAACAAAAAAGACAAATTCAGCATGAATAGTGTTAATAAAGACACAAACATGAATAGTGTGAAAAACTATACTATTCACACTAGATTTGTCTTTTTTTTTCTCAATGTGTATATCGAATTTGGATCTGAATTTCTTAGGGTTTGTAGACACATATGTTACGAACATCCATGATTCTTTTCAGAATTTTTTGAAACATTTGATTTTTTTTTAAATATTGATATCATGGTAGCACCTAAGTGTTGGTATCACCTGATACTTCCCCTGCACTATCGACGCTGAGTGATTTCGATTTTGCAAAGTGCACGGACGATCACAGGAAAGGACTAGCTTGATGAGCAGCAACGAACCCATCGAAGCCACGTGCCAGCGTCCATATGATTAGTCTCATTATCTTGAGACAGCGCCAAAGCGCTCCAACAGATAATCCACAAGGCTTTGTCTATCATTTCATGGAGATGCAAAGCAAAAGCGAGATCACACCTCGAGTTTAATACACACACCCTTGGGGCCTTGACAGGTGTCCAGCCCGACTGCCACGTGTGCAGAATGAGTCTCTCCGTCTCTCTTGCTCTTGCCTGACGTGTCATGGTAGTAAAGTCAACGCGAGGTTCACAAGGACGCCGTATGTGGCTACTCGACAAGAAGCTGCCGTGAGATCATTTCCGTTTCCGGTCGACGGAGAGCACACACCGGGACAAGAGCAACCAGCCATGGCTGATCTCCGGAGATCCGGGTGACATGGGCAGGTAAAATTTTATGTGTAGACGGCGGCAGCGATTGGTGCAGGATTTTGCTGATTAAAAATGACGCTTCTCTCCACCACACGGCTCGTAGACAAGGGCATTCTGGTCAGACTTCCTTATCCATTTGCTCCAGTTATGAATAAAATGGTACGATATGAACATGGCCAAAATGAAGCAGCTGGAATCAGCCATCACACACATACACGCAAAAAATATCAGCCCATGAAAACACCCCATGAAACGATGCTTTTGCCTCGTGGACCCATGTGAAATGTCCTTTTATTTCTTTCGCAAAAATGAAATGTTTGTTTTGTTTCCTTTCATTGCCAGGAATAATAATGCATGTGGAATTTCGACGACTAGGCAGAATAGCTTTGTTGGGTTTTCACTCGTGATATATTGTTTGTCATTTTGCTTGTAAGAAGTTCCGTAAATGTTATCGTTTAGCGCAAGCGCAGTGGACTTGCGAAGTTTTCTGTGATTACTGACTAGTATCTTCAGAAACATTTGGACAGCATAATTAAAGTTCATAACCATGTTTTATTATCTTAAAAGGGTAATTCCACTTTTCGCAAAAAAAAGGGTAATTCCATTCCACAATATGTAATTTTGTTAGATTTCATACTAGATTAGTAGGAGTGCTACCTTATGATTGGGCATTAAATTTGAGTTCTGGCATCAAGTAAAAGGTCAAGGACGACTTTGCTAGTAGCACAATTCAAGGCATTATTGTTGCCCGGCAGCCAAACAAGGCCGTGGTGGGATGAGATTGCACGTGCTCATCCTCACTGCTCGGTCTCCTCCACCTTCATAGAGAGTTCATCATAACCCCCACCGGCATAGTCAGTGGGTGTTATTCGTTGCACCACCGAATTTATATTCCAGGAACGGAGACCTCTTCTCAGGGTCAAGCCTGGTGTGCGCTTCAATGTAATGCTGGTCCACCAACAAACGCGTGATCCTTCCTAGTCCTAGTGCTAAATTTAGCAATTTTTAGCAAAACATAACTGTGATTTATAAACTTCATGTCATACGCGGCAGCATGAGCATGATTGGATGCCGATTTCCGAATCCTCAGGTCACATACGAAGCAGAGGCCAAGACAGTTGGATACCGATCGATATGCATGGAAAATCTCGGCAATTTATACATGGAGAATCTCAAAAAATAAATTGTCAATCATCAACAAGCAAGTACACACCATGTTCATCGTTGCCACATACATATAGATGCCTTTGGGCATCAATAAAGGCAAGGGTGCTCTCGAATTCGGATGAATATGATGCTGGACCTACCACGCCTCCTTTGCTTTTAATCTTTCATCACCATCTTGTGATGATGAGATTGCTACTGCCATTGGGAGCCGTTGCTTTCCTGTGGGCACCAGAAAATGAAACCCACTCCCCTCCATCCATCCATAGATATTTCTTTATTTATTATTATATCTATGTAGGCCATGCTTGTCTGGTTTGGCAAGATAGCAATCAAGGCCAAATAAATCCGCTACTCCTACTACTGTTCATCACATCTTCTGCAGACACTGGGACCATTGGTTTATTATGAGGGTTTTCCCTGCCAAGAATGGCTCTGGGCCATTGCAATTTCTAAGGTTTTCCCTGGCAAGAATGGCAATGGCAATGGACCATGACAATTTTTGGATGTTGCAGATCTGGGTCATTGGTTGAGTTCCAGCATCCATTTAACAAGGCAGAAAAATAAAAGAAATGCAGTGAGAGTAGCAACACAGATCTCCACTCAACTACTGTCAGGGTTCTAGGTCAAGTACATTTGGTACAACAAAATGAGGAGACAGAAGAATTTTTTGGTATGGTCTCGACAGAGATTAAATAATCTCTAGAGTAATAAGGATTAGATGAACAACGGCTGCTTCGTTCACCTCTCGAAGAGCATGACCATTTCGCAGTGCGAGGTGTGGGGAAACAGATCTACGGCCATGGCCCTCTTGGGGACAAAGGGCTCCGAGTTGGGCATCGACTTGGTCCTCTGCCTCGCGAGCCCGGCGCTGCTCATGTTTCGCCATCCACGGTGGCCCTTGTTCTTTTCCCTATGCTCGGTTGATGGGGTGCACAGCTCGATTGCGTTGGCAACTAGAGTGTCTGGATTGCAGGAAATGTACCTGGTAAATTTGAAGCAAAGAGTGAATGTCAGAGCAGTAAGAAGAAAAATACATGTAAACATTATGTGTTTAAACTTCTGAAAAACTACAGGTCTTTGTTTCTCTTTTTACTTCTAACGTTTTCCAACCGAGATTTGAGATTTCAATAATGCATTTTTGTTCCCAGATGGCATGATAACCTCGTGATGGGAAACTTTACTTCTCTGTTCACCATTACAGTACAGAGCTCACGTTACTTCTCTGTTCACCAGCACAGTACAGAGCTCACATTACTTCTCTGTTCACCAGTAGAGTACAGAACAGGTATAGGGAGTACTTCTAAGTCATCCATGTTTCTCTTTCTACTTCTAATGACGTTTTCCAACTTGAGATTGAGTTTTCAATAATGTGTTTCTGTTTCCAGATGGCATGATAACTTCATAATGGGAAGCTTTACTTCCCTGTTCACCAGTACAGTACAAAGTTCACATTACTTTTCTGCTAATCAGTATAGCACAGAACAGGTACAGGGAGTACTTACACTAGACGACGGATGCGTGGATGAGTCCTCAATACCTTGATCACCTATTAAATATTCAATATGTGAGCTTGATCCTCCACAAAGGTCGGTAGTCCAATCACAAGCAGAATGGCATACAGGAAAAATAAATAAAACAATGTATATGTAGAACCAATCAGCATGGGGTGCTTCAATCAACTAACATGGTGCTATTTAGTAGTGCAAATTACATTCGTAAATGACAAGGTTCATGCTTGCTAGTTGGGTCATAATGCAGGAAGAAACATCCTGGATACCTACTGTACCTGGCAATGCAACCGCACTACTCTAGTGATCACCAGCTCTATTAAAAACAAAATTTCTGTAAAGTCTGCTTCATTTATATAGACATCCGTGACATGCATTTAACAATATATCACAGGTAAGAACGATATAGCTCAAATCCATCAATGTATTAAGCAACCAAAGGGCTAAGGCTTGCTCCAAGTATCAGGTATTAAGACTCGAGTAAGCATTTCCAAACATAAAAGTAACTATGTATTATTTATGATAAGAAAACTGAATACTGAAATTTACTTACAGTAGGGTGAAGCCCAGCACGTGGAGGATCTACAATAGCAACAAAGTTCTTGAACTGGCATGCAGTAGCTGCAAGCACGTCATTTTTAGAAATCGAAGAACCTTCCTTGCGGGTTTTGGTGTGCTCTGAACAGTCAGCTGCTTTTGCATCAACGGACTCCTCATTGACCAATGATGATGCTTCCTCACTATTTTGGTTACAAACAGCCTCATTGCATTGCTCATGTCCACCTTCCAACTCTTTGCTAATCCCATCATCCAAGTCCTCATTTATCTCACCACTCTCATTTTTCTCTGTTAAGCTCTCCGTACTTTTACCATTATTCTCTGCATCACCAACTATATCCTCTTTTTTTCCTGTACCATTAACTTCTGAATTACTTTCAGAAGCTGCAATGTGCTGCTGTGGCGAACCAAGATACTCTGTGAGAAGAGACCCCATCACATCTTCAGCCTGTTTATTCCCAGCATGAGGATTCAGTTGAGATTATTGTGGTGAGTACAAACAATTGGGAAATCAAATGTGAAGATGATTCATGATCAGTGACACCAGAGTAATAGAATCATTCATTAGGGTACATAAGTCTCACCTTCCCGCAGACAAAACGGCAATTTTTTATACCGTTAATAAGAGCATTTCTCTGAGCATCCACAACCGCTGATTCATTCATTTCAATTCCAACAACCTAGCATATTCAGCAACATAACTATGAGAAATGATATTCCAAAGCAATGGTTGAGCCATCTAACATGAATCACATTCACAACTGCGTTGTGCAATATACTGGAAACAAGAACCATCATTGACAATAAGATGAAATGTGCAAAAGAAATTACCATTCCAACACGGTGAGCTAATGTCAGGCCAATTGTTCCAGTCCCACAGCATACGTCAAAAAGTAATGTGTCCGAATTGAGATTGGCCCAATCACCAGCAAGGGTGTACAATCTTTCTGCAGCAAGAGTATTAACCTGTGTAACTGTGAGTCAATACCAAAGTCAACAAAGCCCAATTGGCAAAGTAGTTCGCAGTTAAGACAAACCTGAAAAAATGCTGTTGGTGACAGAGAGAACCGAAGATTGCTGATGTGGTCATGGATTCTTGTTTTATCCACTGCTCCCTCTTCTGATTGGTCCACTTCTGGCACCAATAGTGGGATCAGTGGACAGTCAGCTGGTGCTACATTTGATATTCCTGTGTGATCCTGAATGAGAGTGAAAATTTCATTAGCATCGAATATTTCAAGAATAACAAAGAAGCCTACTTCTTGAAACAAACTGCATCTGACATGTCTAAACTTGAATGAAGAATAGACATAGCCATAAAATTCACTCACCACATTCCCAAAATTGTGTATAACTGTATTAGTTGGCAAAGTCTTAAAAGTTTGATTGCACATGTTTTAAAATGACTGCTATTTTGAAATGGAGAGAGAGCTTTGTATAACTGTTCAGTTCAAACAATAAAGTCTGCTATAACTGTTCAAAAGTACAAAGTCACCAACTAGGTGGCAAGTGCTAAGCAGGCTTACCGAACTGTCACAGAGCACTGTAACACATATTAAGTTAACAAACTACAATAAAACTACATTTAGAGCAACTTAATGGACATAGGCAACACAGAATTCCTGAAGGAAAAAATGCATAGAATCATAGCTCTGATGCAACTGTTTAAACTTACTTGAACTACTATAGTTGTTAGAGGCAATGGAGGTGAGCATGTTGCAGCCCCCTGCACCAGTGTCTTGGACAATTTGGCAAACTCATCTTTCATCAGTACCTCATCAACACCTGTGGAGCATACCTGGAAATATAGAAAGTATAGCTTGTCAGTGGTACTGCCAACAGGAAATTTGTACTGCATTGAACTGACTGCACATCTCATTATCAGTCCAAACAACCTGGATAATAATCATGACTTCTGATATTTGTGTTTGTGTATCTTGTGCAACAACAGCTTGAGCTGGACTTCTTCCCTCTCGAACCTAATATGGAAACCACAGAATAAACAGTTATCCCTGTCAGGTGGATAAGCAGAGAAATTAACTATGCACAATCTCAAAAGAAAACAGAAACAAAAGCATGCGATGCAGATTTAAATGCTTAGCGAGAGCATACTGTGAATTGGCGCCAAAACCCAGAATTATCAACTCTGTTCCACGCAGGTAAGCATGATAACTGCAGAAAATCTTGGAATATCATAGCATATTTACAGGACATTGCTGAAACATTTGGGCAGTCCACAGGTTCCTCAACAGCAGTCACACCTTCCCTGAGATTTTGTTGTATCAATCATTAATACTGGAAGGCCAGTGAACAAAAAAAAAAAGAGAGGCAGCAACAAACCAACCTGAAATTCCCAAGCATAAACCCTACTGTCTTTTTACCCGCCAAGGAATGTCCCACAGAGAACTCACACTTATTACGATACCCATCAATCACTGGGGACTCCAGAATGCCTTCAAGCTTGCAAGAAAGACCACCTGGATGATTGGACAGACACTTAGCAAAGCTAAAGAGCAGAAGATCATACAAGAAGTGGGGCATGAAAACGTGTTTGGCAGATTGCAGCTAATGTAACATGTTTATGCCAGTTACCTACAAAGAACTGCTACCGCGCATATGTTTAGTTTTAGGATACAGCCAAAAAAATTAACCTTTTGTAAGATTTCTTTGTTTAGAACACTGAAATAACATGTGCCGGGTACTCGGGATTATTAGTCGGGTCAACAGAGCAAAGCAAATGAACTCACAAATTGTATGTGTTGCGAACACTCAAAGGTGAATATTCATAAAAGATTTTTTTTCAGAATGCTTTGTGTGTTCTGTGCTATACAGCCAAAAAACAACCTTTTGTAAGATTTCTTTGTTTAGAACAATGAAATAGCATGTGCCGGGTACTCGGGATTATTAGTCGGGTTAGCAGAGCAAAGCAAATGAACTCAGAAATTGTATGTGTTGCAAACACTCATAGGTGAATATTAATAAAAGTTTTTTTTTTCAGAAAGCTTTGTGTGTTGTGTGCTACACTGCTAATTGTGTTCACTTTCATGGAGATAAAGCTTGACAGACACTTTATACACGAGCAAGATAATCTCTGTATTTTGGTGAAGAGACTCTAAATGGTACTGAAATAGAAGCAGTACTACAGTGCAAGAGTTCCCAACTTTCTGAAGTTTCCCTTTAAGCATTCCAGATAACAAATCCAGGAGTTCACTAACAGGACAACACCATAAACAAAATTGCAAGGTGCTCATAGCATAGCTAACGTTAATAATTGTTGTGCACATACATAGTGGACAAGCAGAGTTCAGGTGAATGAGAGTGGAATAGGAAATAGTTGGATTAGGACAAAGTCCAACAGGCATCTGAAGTCTAGGATAAGAAAGTCAAATCTGTTAGGAGTTGCTGTGTTAGGAAAGGGCAAGGGGCCAAGCATCCACTACATAAGGATGCCATGCATGACACAGTCGTCTATCCTCGGAAATGTAAATTGTTACCCCGTAGCGAATCAAGGTTACACACATATCTTATCAATAGCAACATTATGTATCTATTATTTTGTGTAACAGGCCTAGGAACAATAAAAATTGAATACCATATTGTATCTCGTATCAAGGTGTTCGTAAAACACCTACATGGTGATCAACATAAGTAATGAGAATAGCACATCAACAGTTCAATACTACGAGTAGAAGGTTACCAATTTGCTTTGCGTTGGAAATCCAATCTGGTAATGTAACGTCAGCTGGGCAAGCTTTCTTAGCATTCCGAGTCTGCAGTACAAGACAACAAGATAAGTGAACACAATTTCAGCAAATATAGAGCTGCTTCAGAGATAAAAATGGTGGATGGACATGAAATTGATCTTACAAGTTTCTTAAGTAACTGTGCCACTGAACTTTTTTTGTGCTCTAGCTGATCACTGTATGTCATATGCGCAAGGGGCGTAACTGCGTCACGCACAGTTCTTTTACTTGCTCCTGCTGCTTCAGGTCCGGATGTTCCATCAGCAGGAGCAGCAGCGTCACTACTGTTTTCTGTTGCTGCCCCATTATTAGATACTGGTCCTTCTGAATGCAACTTCTGATGAGACCTGCGATTGGCATCTGCTATCTTTATTTGCTTTCCACCAGATTGATTCTCCTTAAGGACCTACTCGAGTTGTGAGACAAAATTCATTATCATTTGTTAAATACCCAAACAGGTTGCCAGCACGACCAATGGACAATTACCTCCACAGCATTTCTCAGTTGTTCAACAGTTTCAAATGTCACAAAACCAACGGTCATTCCTTTCTTCTTCTTTGCTACTGCATATGAGATTCCCTGCACAACCATAATTGAAATTGTAGCATTAAGGTATTAGACAAAGTATACTCCAGACGACACACACTTTTAACATTCTTCAAGTCTCAATACTTTAACCCAGAACATAAACCAATCCTTGAAGATGCAAAGACATTTTCTACGCAATTCAGCAGCAGAAGCGTCTGGTTACATTATTTTTACTTGCCAAATATATAGCAGATAAAAAGGCAGCCTTTCTCTACGAACTAGATGGCAAAACACGGCAAGACGAGCAACATGCCACCTTGTCCTACCGAATTCATACAATATATATAACTAGCCTCGCATATCTGAAAAACCGACATTATAATCTACTGGGCATATGCCGACGGCGAATCGTGTAAGCTGTTATTCTGCTGTCAGGTTACACCGATTTGTTTCAAAAGTCCCAGCTCATGTTTGGTGATATCCATGAGATTGGCAACTAAAGAGATTAAAATCTGTCCCATAAAACCACCTCATCCCGACAGTGAACTACCATGGACTCCTTCTAACACATGAAATTTTAGATTCCTGCTTCTGATTACTTACAAAAAGAGTCGGTAGCTTCAGGGTTATATCGGTTCCCGCGGGTTCAGTGCAATATACAGGTCTTCAATCTAATTCAGTGTAGATGGCCTACTTCACTTCCTACCGTACTAGACTATTTCTTCTGGATACACAAATGAAGTAGTAGGAGATGTGAGATAATCAGTACTAGAACTTGCCTGCTCGTCGAGGAAGGACTTGAGCCTGTCGGCGAGCCAGTGCCGGGAGAGCCCGACGAGGCACTTGTCGAGCGAGCTCTCGTCGAAGGTGACCTCCTCCTGCCCCCACCGGCCCCTCCTCTCCTCCCCGGCCGCCCCCTCCCCCTCCTCCTCGGAGACCCTGCGCAGCTTCTTGGCCCGGTCGGAGGTGGGGTCCCACGTGCCGTCGGGCCGCGGCCGCAGCTCCTCCTCCGTGTGCGCGTACCGGCACGCCTCCCCGTGGTTGCACCCGTCCGGGCCGCCCCCCCGCCGCCGGAAGAAGGAGCACAGGCTCGTCTTCGACATCGGGTGCCGCTCGCCCTCGCCGGTGGTGGCGGGGGCTGCTGCTGCTGATGCTGGTGCGGCGTCTCCGGGGGCTGCCTCCGGCGACTCCTCCTCCCTCTTGCGCTTCTCTCCGGCGGGCTCGGTCTCCTGACGCTGCTGCTCCGGCGGCGGCGGCTGCGTGGTGGCCTCCATGGATGGATTCTCCCCGGAGGCTGCCGCCGGAGACTCCTCCTCCCTCTTGCGCTTCTCCCCGGCGAGCTCGGGCGCCTGCTGGTCCGGCTGTTGCTGCTGTGGCGGCGGCGGCGGCGGCGTGGTGGTGTCCTCCATGGCTGCGGGGACGGAGGGTTTGCGGAAAAGGTTTTCGGGGAGAGCTCCGGCTGTTTTCTGAGATCGAGGCGGATTTCTATCAGGCCTTTTTGCCGAAAAGCCTCTGGGCCCAATTTGGGCCTTTGACATGAAATAATTCCATGGGCCTGGTTAAAGAGCCCACGTCGCTGACTGTACCACCACTTTCTCTTGTACACTCTCCAGACCTCCCCCTTCTCCCCCGTCTCCGGCGGCCGGCGAGCCTCATGGGCGCCGACGAGAGAGAGCCAAACGGCAGCAATTTCCTAGTACATATACTTGCGGCCTGCAAGTCCCCTTCTCCGTCGTTGGTTCAGAGGGTAAGAAGCTCTTCTGCATTTGTTCGATTCAGTCGTGCTTCCTGTTCGACAGCAGTTCTGACCTTCGCCGTGTGCTGCAGAACCACCTCCGACGCTGATACCCGCCCTCCACTATGTCCCCGCCACCGAGGGGAGGCCAGGCGGCGCCCAGCACTCCAACCGCCAGGCGCCAGCCAGCTGCCCCGACTGCAGAGAGCCAACGAGCCGCGGTTGCCGCCAGATCCGGGACCGGCTGGCGTGGGAGGTTAACGGCCTAACGCCAACCCTGTACTACCTCTCACAGGCCCTCAGCCCCTTTTCAGTTTCTCTTCTCCTTATCTGTCTGAAATCTGAATCCGTCCTGTGCAGGCTGGGCATTTCAAACGCAGTCAACTCTCCTGGTCTTTCCGAGATCTACGCGCTCAACCGTTTTCTATCATCTCACCTCGGATCAGCGTGGAGCATCCAATTCTTTAACAACGTAGTTTCTGGGAAAGCTCCAGCCGGGTAATGGGTAGGTAGCCACGCCCGTCTACAAAAGCTGCGCCAAGGAGCTCTCTCATCCGTCACCAGTCTTTGCGGTGTTAATCTCCTCCAGGACTGGCAGAGACATCACTGTCAAATGTCTTCTCCGGATATTCAGGTGCTAATTACTCGTCCCTTGTTTTTCAGCAGACATCCGGTTTTATATTGATCAAAAGAATATCAGAATCCTTGGCTCCGCTTTTGTCACCTCTGCATATCTTTACTCTAGATGACACATACTGGTTTCTCGTAATAGCTGAAGTTGATGACAATGCATCTGTGCAATCCCTTATGTCAGTTTTGATAGTTTTGTTGATTCCAGCTTACTGTATAATTTCCACTGTCCTCGTTATTATATTGTTTTCACTTTTCTTTGATTGTGCACTGCGATATACAGGACACACCAAGAATTGTTTCACCTACAGGGGCACCCTTGTATAAAGTTGCTCCCGTAACAAAGATTCTAGTTGAGCCAAGCAAGGCATTGAAGTCTCCTTTCTTGGTGAAACGACAATCTCTTCATCGACCAGACACCAAAGTACTGGAGGGTTTGTATCATGACATTACCACTAATCCATCACCCATATGGCAACAGTACGTTATACGTGTCATCAACATCTACTGGTTTTTACTTGTCTATTTTTTTGCTCATAATGCGGTTCCTTACTGCTTTTCCACGCTATATATGGGTGTTATCTGTTGAAGCCTTGAAGATCTTCCGGAATTAGTGAAGATTGAGAAAATGATGAACGATGAGAAAAAGCAGAAAAAAGAAATAGCAATGAGTAATTGGCTAAATTTTGTTGTTAGCAACATGGGCAGAGAGGATGCTCGTGACTTTTGGAATACCAAGTGCCTCGGTTGGAGGCACTATGCTGATTCAAAATGGGCAGAAAAATCAATGAGTCGACATTTGGATCCCAAGGATCTCAAAAAAGTATTCTATGCTGGATCAGTACTGTATAACGCTTCACAATCACATATGGTATGATCTCTTTCTCGCACTTTCTACAAGAAAGCTAGGGTGAATAAATTAGCTGTGTTGTAAACGTGATCTTGTTATGCTATTAAACCAGTCCAGTTTGAGTTATATGCATATGAAATGGATTCCGTTAGTGAGTACAAATTAAACAGTGTTGTTTGTTTGTATCTAGGTATTCATCCCAGTCTTTCATGATCACCAATGGACTTTATACGCTTTCAACATGTGTGATCAGAAGCTCAGCATTCTGGACTCTCGACCAGATACCACTAAAGGTGCTGATCCCACCAAGCGGCACCAGAAAACGAGATGCAACATCTGTGATGCACTTACCGTAACCATGAACTATGCAATTGATTTTCGTAGCTGGGAGTACCAGTTTCCCAAAGTACCTAGACAACAGGACAGGTATGTTCTGTTTCACTAATTGTTTTGAAGTTCTTAAACTTGTTTCATTTCCTAATTTGTCTGCTGTGAAAGTTCAACTATAACTTCGTTCTAAATTAACTGGACCACTCTTTTCTTTTTAATTTTTGAAAATGGCTATCTTGCCCCATTTAAAAAAACAAAAGGAACTTCTAACTTATTTGGTCCCACAATTTGTCTCACTTTGTCTAGCCGTCGACGTAGGATCCCTTGTCATTGTTTGTCTAGCCGTTGCTGTAGGGTTCTCTTCCATTACACCGTGCTCTTTTCTGGACATGTAGCAACCGGACCATATGCCAGGAAGAGCACGGTCTAAAGGCAATAAGTTATGTAGAATTTTTTTTGTGTCTAGGATTATGGTGGCATATGATAATCTTGTTTGGTGAACTGCTTTTGCATATTTTTGTCATTTGGTTATCAGCTTTTGGTATGATCGCAATCAACTGAGATTCAAATCATGTCATGCTTTATAGAAAACCATATCAGAGACATTCCTTGGGTAAATTTAATGTTTTGTTTTGTATTTCAAGAGGTAACTATGATTTGGTTTGCCAAACAAGACAATAACTTTTCCTTAGCTACTTTTCCATGAGCATAGTTTTAAAATAAGTTCAGCACACCACTGTTTAGCAACCTTTAACTGGACCGTTTTCTGACTATATTTATGCAGTTTGGTTTAGCATGGAATAAATGTGAGATGGAAGATGGACCTATTTTGCTAAAAATAGTTAGTTTCTTTAGTATCATGTGCTTAAATAACAGATTAAGTTTGGCGTCCTTGCCGTTAAGGCAAGGATGAAAAAAACAAGTACCAAATCAGAGTTACCTGTGCTTTTGCTAGTTGCTACTAACACCCCGGGCACCCTCACCTCTCCTCCAGTGCCTTGACTCACAAATTCAACGAAGCAAACTCCTTGTGAATTTCGTTGCCAGGACTTCATCATTGGGATTGATATTTTTTTCCAGGCGCATCATCATCCATGGTGGTAGGTTCTGATACCATAAGATGTTGTAGCCGATGTTAGCTATGGGGTTGTAGCGTGGGATACTCGCTGGACGCAAGTGTCATTGCCGTATGGCCATCATGGTACTGTAGAAGGGTAGTGGGAAAAGATTGGAGAATTAGAGGGGTAAAAGAGAAGCATAGGTATGAACTAGATATTTCATTGCTTGTCTTCCTTAGTTTTTTTCTAAGTCAGGCACTGTTCAATGAACAGTACAGTTGGGAACTATCACAAACTGCTCCTTTACAGAGCTATCCCAAACTGACTTGAACACAACCGATAAGACTCTTTACTTCTACTAGGCCTCCTACCAACTCTGGATAGTCCTGAATTCTCTAGATACTCCTGGACTGAACTAACTCTAGATACTATTCTTACTTACTTCTACTAGGATACCTACCCACTCTGCATAATCCTGGACTTTTCTGGATACTCCTGGACTGAACTAACTTTGGATACTCCTGGATTGAACTAGGTTCATCTAACACCAGCTGGATTCTCTTGGATGCCACAACAATTATTGAGTCGCTCTAGGCGACATGAGAAAATGTGCTACTCCCTCCGTTCCTAAATATAGGTCTTTCTAGAGATTTCAACAAGTGACTACATACGAAGCAAAATGAGTGAATCTACACTCTAAAATATGTCTATATACATCCGTATGTGGTAGTCCATTTGAAATCTCTAAAAAGACTTATATTTAGGAACGGAGGGAGTAGTAGTGAGTGGCTCAACCTTTATGGATGGCCGAACCATATACCCAGTACTAATAAGCACATATATTTTATTGTTGTGGTGAATATCATTTTATTTACAAAAGCCAAACATTTGCACACCAAAGTCAACATTCTTAATGGTGTCGATTTTCAATCAGATGTTGGAATCTATCTCCTTTGTCGTGGCTTCATAGGTAAATTTCCACCAATAGATATTCTAGCTACTGAGATCATTTTTTTGTTGATGAGAATCATGCACATGGCTGGATAGTGGAGACGTTACTTTGTACAGTAGAAATCAATACCTTGAAAATATGAGATAGATTCCAACATCTGATTGAAAACACAATGGAGCATCCACACTTGTCATGCAATTTGCCTCGATTATTTTCCTTTGTATCTTGTGTAGTTGTGTGTGAAATACTTGACCCTTTTTTTCTCGTTGCACTTGTAGCGGTGATAGTGGATTTTTCGTATTCAATTTCATGCGCTTGTGGGGCCATCAACTTGTTCGATGGTTTCCGACTGTAAGTGGCCACCACGCACCTTGATGTTTTCTCCCCGTTTTGGCCTAAATACTTAACTGGATATCATATGTTACTAGGAATCAAGGGAGCTGCGGAAGGATTTTTTGGCATACATACTCTTGTGCAAGGATGACAATGTAAATCTGCCCGATGAAGTTTCTTTGAAGATTAAAAATCTTCCTGGTGAGATGCTCTGGAGCCTTGATTAGTGTCGACTTTTTATTCCTAATATGGTGGACATACACATTGACACACACCTCAGACACACACCATATCGCCCATGGGAAGAGGTACATAGGGACATACGTGTACTGATGTACACTTATTATTTTTGGTGAAAAACTTAAGTACCTATTTATAATTGAAGAATAATATACATCAAGTAAGTTAGAAAACCTGACTAAAAATGCGATTTGTACGAATGCTGGCTTCGGCACTGGTCACGAAAAAGTTGAGTGCACCCACATGCACAAAATCGCAGGCAAATATACGACAGTACAAACGAACACATCTTGTTATACCAATGGTACTCGTTGTGAATAGCGCTGGACTGAACCCCAGACCCCTGGATTCACGTCTGCATATATAATGAGGCTTGATATGCTCTTCTCTAGATAAATAATGCTTTAGCTAGGTGGTAGGATTTGTTCTAGATCAAAGTAGTTGCTTTGCCCACGATGTTGTGTATCTTTGTACACAATGGGTAAACACCAACGAATTTGAGAAATAATAGATTGAGTGAACAAAGAAACATTTATGTCCAATGAAAAACTAACAAAATTAGTGCCCTACTAACGCAAAATTTGAAGAACATGTTCTTTTCGTATAGGTGCAGAACTGATATTATTTTACATGGAAATTTACAAGCACAGAGTACTTGAATATTGACATGTTTACTTTTTAAAATGAAACTGGGAAAACTTTTTTTTCACCTCAGAGCAAGCACAGAGTGCCATTCAGATAGAAAAAATCTCAATTGTGGTACAGTTTGTCGCAAGGTTTCCTAGTGGTTGTCATAGACTGATAAGCAACCTTCAATCATTTGTTTTTTTTTTTGCAAATTTCTCTGTTTATTGTAATTACACACTTGGTATTATTTATATATAGAACTCTGATATTATTTAGGTGTTCGCACTATTGGTGTCTGGCTATATATATTATTATAAATCACTTTCTATAAGAAGTTTTAAAACATATAACTGGGATGTGTGTATTTTTCGGTACAAAAGGTGTGGAAACTGGATATGTTCACTTTCGTTATCTAAAAACATTGTCAGTTTTGTTTATAATCTATATTATTAGATATATGTGACCGTGGAAGAGAGTGGGTTTGGTTCCTGGGTGGACCTACACTAAAAAAATATTATGCATGTACATATTTCAGTCTTTTATTTATAATCTATATTATTTGATATACTACATGTTTTTGGTTTGGGGATGAAAGAGAGGGGTTTGGCTCCTGGGTGCACCTACACGAAAAATATTATGCATGTACATATTTGAGTCTTTTATCAGGCCCACAAAATTTCATGCCAAAAGAAGCAGATCCATATTCTAAAAAAACAAATTTAGTTTTCTAAAAAAGCAAAAAAGGTACGCCCTCCGATCCTTTGTACTAGTGTAGCGTAAAAAACGTACTTATATTATGGGAGGGATCCACTGAGGGAGTACAAATTTAGTTTTTTAATTGACACTGGTCTAGTACAAAGTTGTACTAATTTTGTACCAAACTAGCGTCAATTAATTTGGATCGGAAGGAGTACAAATTGTGACCCAGATCTCGCGAATATATCCTTCCTGGTCCTCTCGTACTAGGGAAAGGTCCTCTCTAAACTCGGCTTTATTTTTTGCGCAGGACATAAGATCTTTTTTTTTTTTGCATGAACTAGAAGACTTCCAACATTGACATGTGTGACTCTTTTTTTTTTGACATTTCGAAAAATTACGTTCATTGACTTATATACATGCTTTCTCGGCCATCCACTATTCAAGTCATTAGTTTCAAGTGGTATTTCGAAGAAGCGCGAAAGCTGGGCAGAAAAAATTGAGGAACTTATATCGCTGATAGTCGTTTGTACCATTCCTCTTTTGAACTTTCAACAGTTTTTATGATTTCTATGATAGTTGTTTGTGATTTCTATGATTTTGTTTGTTAGACCTAATGCATATACAATCTTTATATGAAAAATATCATCATGAAAAATGTAAATAAAGCTTTGACTCTACAGTTTTCTCTCTGCATCTTGCGCATAGGAATGTATAGTTGTATTTGTACTCAAGTATCTCTTTGTGATGAATCCTTGCTAAATATAGTTGTGTTTGTGATACAACTCAATTCTCTGCGACACACGTTACCATATACTTCTATCAATCTACAGAATTATTATTGGGCCCACCAATTTCGCAGTCTAGATCCCATCTTTTTCTCTCAATTGTTCACCAATTAGTAATTTATAGCATTGTTTGACTGAACTTTAGGTGACTGTTCTCTACAGGGGAGATGATGGATTGCATATTGCACAAGGTTGCGATGGAAGGCACTAGACTTGGTACTGGGAATCAGGGAGAGCATGTCGGTGTTGGTCCATCTAATAATGCACCATCTGATCATTCAATTAACGTGGGCACAGAGCTAGAGGCATCTACTGAAAGCTCCAATGAGCTTGCTAATGCTCATTCAAGTTCCAGAAGAGAAGCTGCTGCAGCGTCTAGTACCGGATATCAGGGAGAGCATGGTGGTGTTGGTTCATCTAATAATGCACCATCTGATCATTCAATTACCTTGTTCACGGAGCCAGAGGCATCTACTGAAAGCTCCAACGAACTTGATGATGCTTATTCAAGTTCTAGTAGAGAAGCTGATGCGGCGCTTGGATATCAGGGAGAGCAGGGCAGTGTACCAGCTGATCATTCAATTACCATGACAGCGGAGCCAGATGCATCTGCTGAAAGCTCCAACGAGCTCACTAATGCTCATTCAAGTTCCAGTAGAGAAGTTACTGCAGCGTTTAGCACTGGATATCAGGGAGAGCATGGTGGTGTTAGTCCATCTAATAATGGGCCATCTGATCATAAACTTACCATAGAGGTATCCACTGTAAGCTCTAGCGTGCTTGCTAATGCACATGCAAGTTCCACTAGAGAAGTCGCTGCGGCATCTGGTGCACCAGATCCTGCATTAGCATCCTATGATTTTCTTAGTACATGTCATCGAGTCACCTCCGATGGGGACGGGGTGCTCCATATTGCTGCAAGGTTTGGAAATGTTGAACTATTGCATGACATCTTGGAGAACCATGAAACCCTCGCAGAAGTGCTTTTATTAGCAGTGAACAACAGTGGAGATACACCACTGCATTGTGCAGCTGCAAGAGGGGGTAATGACATTGGCAAACTTTTCTTGGGACATTTAATGAAAGAGGATACAGATACAGTAACTGCCAATCTTGGTTGGAACACAATTCCCAGGTTTTTGAACAGAGATACAACACTGAATCGTGCGGCTCCTGGAGTCAAATATTTTTTGAAAAATATGGAGGACGAGAACAAGGATGGTATTGCCATGTTTCTGAGGGCCCAAAATCTCAAAGGAGAAACGTGCTTACATGAGGCAGTGCGGCACGGCCATGCTGAGATTGTGAAGGCACTAATTTCGATGGACGAAAAAATTGATTACTCTGGCTGGCCCGCGCTGGTACAGATAGTGGACAATGAGGGTATATCTCCACTGTACTTGGCTACCACTATACGAAGGATTGAGATCGTTGAGGCCCTCACAAGAAAGCAAAACAAGTATTCGGCATCATGTGCAGGCCCTGCAGGAAAAACTGCATTGCATGCTGCCGTGGTTCTCCTCGACGAAGGTATGTAATTGGCAATTTTACTTCCCTCCACTCCTTTTCAAGGCATTTAGTGGTGTTACCTTTTCCATCTTGTGTCATATGGATTTGAATCAATGCGACTGTAACGGTAGAAAACACTGCAGCAAATTATTTCTAGTCCAGGTAATCATAGTAACATGAGACAGCAGCATATATATGTAGCGTCGCTGATGCACTCTCGCCGTCACATTATTGTCTGCAGTTTCCCATTATTCTTGTTTTCCTTTCCAAAAGGAGCTTTTAACAAGGCCTGACTGCTTGCACTTGTCCGCATGAGGATAGAGCCTAGGTAGTTTACCCCATATTTTCTTTCTTTTTAGGATAATGGAAGAACATTCTTCACTGGCATCTGCATCCAAAGATAAAAACAACTCAATTTATAGCCACACGAAATTACAACTAGCGTATTTCCTCAGGGAGAGAAGATAGTGGAGACATCCTTTTCTCATTTGATTATTTTTGGTCCTCTGCAAGGAGAACCCAATATTTATAGTGCCCTTTGTGTTTTCTTTGTTATTGCATTCTACTCCCTCCATATCAAAATATAAAACGTTTTTGTAGGCTACTTATATTTTGATACAGAGGTACAGTAGTAACTAAGAAATTTGGTAGTAAAATTTCATAAACCAAGTGACAGTTAATCTTGTTAACGCTATTTGCAGGACTGGTTGAGATTCTGCTGAAATGGAAGGCAGGTCTTACATCGCAGGTAGATGAATCCGGCAGCACTCCTCTGCATTTTTTGGCATCACTCTCCTTGGAACGCAGGGAACACAACACTATTTTGTTCCTACTCTACAAGTTGCAACGAGATCTTAATATTGTGATAAAGTTTCTGTGCTGCAAACCACCCCAAGACTCGGGTATCGTAGAATTTATTATGGAAAAAGACCCACTTTCCGCATTGTATGTGGACTGTACGGGATCGATGCCCATACACATTGCCGCTGCACATGGGAGACTTGATACAGTAAAGAAGTTGCTCAAAGAGTGTTCTTATTGCGAGACATCACGCAATGCTTCTGGCCAGACCTTCCTTCATGTTGCAGTCGAGAAGGAAAAGCTCAATATTGTGGATTATGTTTGCGGTGAAAAGAAATTCAACAAAATTCTGAACGCAGAGGATCAAGATGGGAATACTGCCCTTCATCTAGCCGTAAATAATGCAAGTGAGAAAGTTGTATGCACTTTAATGCAGAACAGGGAGGTTTGCCTCAACTTTGCAAACAAGGAGGGGCGGACGCCTCTTGACCTGGCATTCTTGAGGCTTCACCCTGATGTGATATGCATGAAGGTATGTGATGTTTATATTTGTATATATATAATTCTCACTAGGCAGTTGGGCTCGATACTGGCACTGGAGAGTATATTTATTATCTTGGCATTTTCTTTGTTTTTTTTAACATGGTGTGTGCGCATTCTACCAGGGGCCTCGGGAGTGGATATTTTTCGACTTGTTGCATGGCGGTGGTGATTTTGGTGTCGGTAGTTGGGACCAGCTTGCCAAAGATGTTGTTAAACCAGACTGGGAGAAGGAATCGGAAAGAGTGGGCAAGTCGGCATCCATGCTGGCCGTGTGCGCGGTACTCATCCTGAATGCAGCACTCTTGGCGCCCTTCAACGTGATCAAGCAGATGGACAAGGACGCTCCCTTCAATATGCTTGCTTTCCAAACCTTTGTGGTTTCCGACTCCATCGCGTTTGTCTGCTCTGCAGCGGCCACATATTTCTGTGCGCGTGCTGGTTTTGCCATGTCAGATGGCTGGGCGCGCTTGAAAAACCTGATTACTGGGACATTTGCCCTTGTTGTCGCAGCCCTGGGTCTGATGATCACTGTGGCTCTGGCACTCTTCCTGGTGTTACCTGGGGGTACTGGGTTTTTACCCATTCTTATTGCAGGCTTGGGCATTTTCTCCCAGCTGTTCTTCGGCTTCTTAAGATCCTGGGTCACATCCACCTTTGCTCATCTGAGAGCTATACGGGCTAGAGCTGGTACTCTACGACTCGTCTGCATCCTGCTGTTTCAGCACAGTGCTATACAGCCAGTGTGGGTGGTTCCTTCAGGATCTACTAGTCTGTTATGGTCAGTAGCATTTGTCGTGGCTGCGTTTGCCATAACCATATCACTCACAACAAAATTTGCCGGGGGAGCATAGTTATGTTTTTTATTTTTTTACTGAGCTTCAAGTAACTTTCAAGATGTTGCCCTCGCCATCTGTACTATTACTTTCCCAGCCATCTCTTTTTTTTTGCGGGATACTTTCCCAACCATCTCATTAGTAATAAATGCTGAAATGGCAGAACTTGATCTCCTGCTTGTTGTTGAAATATGAGATGGGCCTAGAGCCCATATGACAAATTCAGATTTGATTTCTAAGGGCCCATGTAGGTGGCATGACAAGGTGGTGGGAAGTTTAGTCCCACCCCGAAAGTGGAAGGAGAGTTGGAGTGGTTTATAAGGGATTCTCTTCCTCATGCTATTGGGGCTTGAGAAGAGATGAGGCCCTCGCGCACTCCTCCTCCGCTCGCCTCGCCTCGCCGCATGGCCGATTGGAGGGTATACATCATTTATCCCTCTCATGTTTCTTTCTGTTGTAGCAGTGCTAGCGATATGCGTAGTACATACTCTGTTAGATCGTAACCAGTGTGTTATCAATACTGTCAACGTCATGCTCATGATTTATTCATGGATTAATTTAATCGGAAAACTGCCTAATTTCTTATCAATCCAAAAACCTCATATGTGTAGGAGTTTTTCGAATTCTGGTTTTGCTGCTGCACTGAAACCGTCGCCGTTTACGGGGACGTACTTTAAGCGTTGGCAGACTAAAACCACCTTATGGCTCACTGCCATGAACGTGTTCTGGGTCGCCGGTGTGACTCCCACAGGAACGATCGCTCCTGATTAGGAGAAGGTGTTCAAGGAGGCCATTGTCGTGTTCCTCGGGGCAGTTCTGAGCGTGATTGGAGATAAGCTGGTTGACGCATATTTGCATGTGCGGTCTGCCAAGGACTTGTGGGAGGCGCTCGAATCTAAGTTCGGGGTTGCCGATGCAGGGAGCGAGATGTATATTATAGAGCAGTTCCATGATTACAAGATGGTTGAAAACCGTCCTGTATTGGAGCAGGCTCATGAGATAATATGCATTGTTAAGGAGCTTGAGCTTCTTAAGTGCGAGTTATCGGGCAAGTTTGTCGCGGACTGCATAATCGCTAAGCTTCCCAATTCCTGGAGGAACTTTGCCACCACTCTGAAACATCAGAGACGTGAATTCTCTGTGAAGGATGTCATTGGCCATCTGAGTGTTGAGCAGAATTCAAGGGCAAAGGACTCGCACGAAAAAGGGGTCGAAGGAACTTCTGTGGCCAACATGGTGCATCAGAAGAACTCCAATTCCCACAAGCCCAAGGGAAAGAATGGTGTCCAACAGAGTGCCGACTTTAAAAAGAAGGGTAAGAAGACCTTCAAGAAGAACAAGAAGGATGAGGGCTGCTTTACCTGTGGTTCGCTTGAACATTGGGCCAACAAGTGCCCAAACAAGTATAAGAAACAAGGGCATGACTCCAAGTCTGTCAATATGATTATGAGCAACAATGAGGGTGGTGCATCTGGGTACGGTAATTTATTTGCTGTATTTTCAGTTTGGCCGTCCACCGATTGGTGGGTCGACACAGGTGCAGGTGTTCATGTGTGTGCTGACATTTAATTGTTTTCTTCTTACCAGGCCACAGGTCACGGGTCCGTACTGATGGGGAATGGCGCGAGTGCTTCTGTTCTTGGTGTTGGCACGGTCGATCTGAAGTTTACTTCGGGAAGGATCATGCAGCTGAAGAACATGCAGCATGCCCCGCCATCAAGAAGAACCTCGTTAGTGGCTCCCTTCTATGTAGAGAAGGGTTTAAGTTGGTATTCGAGTCTAATAAATTAGTTGTTACGAAATATGGACTATTTGTTGGAAAGGGTTATGAATGCGGAGGCATGTTCCGCCTTTCTCTTGCAGATCTATGTAATAAAGTCGTGAACAATATTCATTTGAGTGTTAATGAATCTGAAGTATGGCATTCACGTCTTTGTCACATTAGTTTCGGTGTTATGACGCGACTAGCAAAATCGAATTTAATCCCGAGTTTCACTTTAGCCAAAGGTTCTAAGTGTCATTCGTGTGTGCAATCTAAGCAACCTCGCAAGCCTCACAAGGCAGCAGAGGAGAGACACTTGGCGCCACTGGAACTCATACATTCTGATCTTTGTGAGATGAATGGTGTGTTGACTAAAGGTGGAAAGAAATATTTCATGACTTTGATAGATGA